TATTTAGTAAAGAAGCAGAGAAGCCAGGAGGAGGAGAGCCTGTCTTAGGAATAAACTCTCCTATTTAAAATAAACAAAATTTCCTAGCTGTGGCCTCCAGACTTCACATAAACGTAGATTTTACCACTAAGTTTTCAATCACAGTTGAACCTGTGTATTGAATTTGAAATTAATATGAACTTCTCAGAGGCTGAAATAAAACTTTTTAAATTAATATTTGCAAAACCCAATAAAAGTCTGATACATAAAGAGACTGAGTTGGGTATGTATCAATTTATTTATTTATACTTTGGAACTTGTTTCACAAAATATTTGAAGTGGTTCAGTGAAAATACTTGTAAAGCAAAAAAAAGTATAACATCGTTGTAACATAGATCAAATAGGACTCTCAGAAAAATGCATTCTTTGGGGAAAAAACACTGCAATTGAACAAATTCCTTCAATAATAAGTAATCTCACAGACCTGCAGCCTGTTTTTCATGGCCCTCCAAAAAAATGTCTATCTTTATTCACAAGAATCACATTCAGAAGAACTTTGTTGTTCATATAATTATGTGAACAAGCTCTATCAGGAGAGCTTAAATGCTGTGATTCTCCGAGAATAAAATAAATCATACTAGAAAGATTTTTGGGAAGGTGAAGGAGAAACACCTGGCAGTCTGAATCAAAGAGAAGAGAATTTAGCTGGAGTTACCTCGGTAACTAAACCACACAGGCTAAATGAGTAATAAGAGATTATACTCAAGTAATAACTCTCTCCCTGCCTCATTTGTCCCCACCTCCAAAAACATGAAAGAAAAAATAATTCCACAGTCACACCCAATAAAACAAGGTTTAAAAAATCAGTGCTATAATAAAGTGCACTTGACGACCTTTGAAAATCTGTGACGCCCAAGAGACCAAATCGAGTCCTTCCAAGGCTGAAGAATCCTTTACATTGAGAAATTAGGGGGACGTAAATCATACAGCCTCTGTGAAACTAAACTGAACTCAATAAAACTAAAGAGAAAATGCCTAGGGTATATATTAATGGAATGGAAATGTCTGGAACTCTTATTTCTCAGTGTAATCATATAAATGAATTCACCAACAACTCTGATGCTGGTTTGTTCATTACCTTTTAAACTAAATGCACAAGTTCTGCTTCCACTTAAAATGTAAACGCTGGAAAGACCATTAACGAAGAGAAAGAGCTGGATAAACCAAGCAGCCTGAAATCCAAGGAGAGTCAGTCCCTACGCCAACCCCCACCAGTCTCCCCTGCGGCAGGACATGAGAGAAAGGCAAGCAGGCAAGAAACAATCAGCTAAAATCTTGGGGCGAAAGTGACAGCATAAACCCCTGGGAGATCCAGACACACAGGAGTTCACACTCAGTTCACAGGCTCTTTTCCACGCACCTCCTACCAGGTGCTCCCAGGAAAGACTGGAGCAGAGCAGCAGACTAGAAAGCTCCCCCGGAGGGTGCAGGCATGGAGGAAAAGGCACAGGTAAACGCCCATTGCGTCTAGCGGAAAAGAGAAGAAAAAAAAATCCCCACAAAAACTTGTATCCCTGGAAACAGGGCAAGAAACAGTCCTGACCCCAGTACCCTATACCAACCCAGCTAGGGAAGGGCCGGGATACTTCCCTACAAGACCTGCAGCAGACACACAGCACCGTGGGGGAAAGGGGCAGAAATGCTCCGTCCCCAAGCCCCAGCCACACTGAGCCTACTTAAGACCAAGGCTAGATCTAGACGAGAGAATCCCGCTCACCCCGTCCGCAGCCCGGCAAGCACCCGGCAGTAGGCGGCGGCAGGCTGCTGCCAGCGGAGGCGCAAGAGCACAGAGGGCGACTCCCCTCCGAGGCGCCGCTCGCGGAAGGCGGGAAGCTGAGCAGAGAGAAAGGCCTCCAGCAAGCCAGCCCCACCGGCAGCGCAAGGTAACTGTACAAGAATTTAAAGCTGGTGGTAACCATGGCGATGACGAAACGGAACCCTCGCTCAGCCGCGGAGCAGGCTGACTCCAGGCTCCGGCAGGTGAAGCGGCGTGCCCGTTCGCGTGAGCACTGTTGATTCAGTCTCCACTCTCCTGCCCAAGATGTCCGGCAGTCCATGAAAACATTCCGAGATACACAAAGAAGCAAGGAAAAACCCAGTCAAGAGAGAAACAGACTCAGATAACCCACTGGCCTTTTTTTTTTTTTGAGACAGAGTCTCAC